GACCGCCTTTACGAACAGCAAAAGGCCATCACAGATTTCCTGATGTTAAAAGCGGATAAAGGTACTCCCTGTGTAACTTAGATGTCAGCCATTGGCAGCTCATGCGTGACACCTGCGCTTGCTCAGGCCCTTTGAGGAGGCCACGCTATTCGTGAGTCGGCAGGACTATGGGATGAACGACGTCATTCCTCTGTTGCACGTCCTGGAACAAATGCTGTTAATAATGGCTGGTCAGGGTGCGGTAGACGTGGCGCACAGATCTCAACGCCACATGACCCCTGTGGGGGCAGGACAGGAAGAAGAGGAGGAGGTAGAGGAGGACATTGGTGCTCAGGAATTATTGAGTGAAATGGGTTTTTTTTCCACTCAGCGGACAGGAGTGGAGGAGCAGGAGCATCTGGTAGAGGAGGAGGAAGAGGAGACAGAGGACCCAGACGCACCGTGGCAGTATGCTGTGGAGATGGAGGCAGGGAGTCCCTCGCATTCCTTGGCACAAATGGCCCATAGCATGCTCGCTTGCTTGCGTACCGACAGCCGAATAATAACCATCAGACAGAGGGATGACTTTTGGCTGTCCACCTTGTTGGACCCTCGCTACCGTTCCAAAATGGTGGCCTTTTTCACACCTGCTGAGAGGGAGGCCAAAATAACGTACTATAAAAACCACCTATGTAGTCAGCTGGTCTCTGCCTGTCTGCGCCAACGTCCATCCTCAGACACTGTGGGCCCTGTGCGCTCGCGTTACGCTGCCATGGCAGCAGGGGAGGGGTGGGGTGGTAGGAGCAGTGGCAGCTCCACCAGCAGCGGCTGCCTCAGTCTGCAGTCGATGATGAGTAGCTTTCTTCACCAGCGCAGTGAGGAAACTAATAACCAGCCGCAGCAGCAGCAGCAGCAGCAGCAGCAGCATCAGGTGGACCTGGAGCAGGACCTCAAACAACAGGCTTAGGCCTACTTGGACAGCACCCTGCCAACCGAGGTAGACAATCCCCTTGACTACTGGGCAACGAAACTTGACCTTTGGCCCCAACTAGCTGAATTTGCCCTTGAAAGGCTGTCATGCCCGGCCAGTAGCGTGGCATCAGAGCGCGTGTTTAGTGCGGCAGGAGGTATTGCAACTCCGCGGAGGACACGACTGTCCACCCAAAGTGTGGAGAGACTCACGTTTGTGAAAATGAATCAGGCGTGGATTAGTCTGGATTTCAAACCACCAGTTCCTGACACAACTGACTAAATCCGCCATGAATCATGCCCCAAACATGTGCCACTTTCAGGTCTCCTCACACTGCTGGTGTGTTCCATTTTTTGTCATAGGGTGCTGGCAGATTACGGGCCTCCCATAGCTGCTGCCAGGCCCCTAATCTGCCATGGGCCCCTATACCGCCTCCTCATGCTGCTGCCAAGTCCAGAGTCTCTCATGGGTCCCTGTACGGCCTCCCATTGCTGCTGTCTCCATCGCCACACTCTGCCATGTGCCACTTTCAGGTCTCCTCACACTGCTGGTGTGTTCAATTTTTTGACATAGGGTGCTGGCAGATTACGGGCCTCCCATAGCTGCTGCCAGGCCCCTAATCTGCCATGGGCCCCTATACCGCCTCCTCATGCTGCTGCCAAGTCCAGAGTCTGTCATGGGTCCCTGTACGGCCTCCCATTGCTGCTGTCTCCATCGCCACACTGTGCCATGTGCCACTTTCAGGTCTCCTCACACTGCTGGTGTGTTGAATTTTTTGACATAGGGTGCTGGCAGATTACGGGCCTCCCATAGCTGCTGCCAGGCCCCTAATCTGCCATGGGCCCCTATACCGCCTCCTCATGCTGCTGCCAGGTCCAGAGTCTCTCATGGGTCCCTGTACGGCCTCCCATTGCTGCTGTCTCCATCGCCACACTCTGCCATGTGCCACTTTCAGGTCTCCTCACACACTGCTGGTGTGTTGAATTTTTTGTCATAGGGTGCTGGCAGATTACGGGCCTCCTATAGCTGCTGCCAGGCCCCTAATCTGCCATGGGCCCCTATACCGCCTCCTCATGCTGCTGCCAGGTCCAGAGTCTCTCATGGGTCCCTGTACGGCCTCCCATTGCTGCTGTCTCCATCGCCACACTCTGCCATGTGCCACTTTCAGGTCTCCTCACACACTGCTGGTGTGTTCCATTTTTTGTCATAGGGTGCTGACAGATTACGGGCCTCCCATTGCTGCTGCCAGGCCTGTAATCTGCCATGGGCCCCCGTACCGCCTGGTCACGCTGCTGCTGGGTCCACAGTGTGACATGGGTCCCTGTACCGCCTCCCATTGCTCCCACTCTGCCATGTGCCACTTTGAGGTCTCCTCACACTCCTGCTGTTTTCCATTTTGTCATAGGTTGCTGGCAGATTACAGGCCTCCCATAGGTGCTGCCAGGCCGCAAATCTGCCATGGGCCCCCGTACCGCCTCGTCACGCTGCTGCTGGGTCCACAGTGTGACATGGGTCCCTGTACCGCCTCCCATTGCTCCCACTCTGCCATGTGCCACTTTGAGGTCTCCTCACACTCCTGCTGGTTTCCATTTTGTCATAGGTTGCTGTATGGCCTCCCATTGCTGCTGCCTCCACCGCCACACTGTGGCTCCAAACACTGGTTTTGGCCCCGTGACTGGCCAAATGAGTGAAGTGTGCGGTGATTCTAAGATCGACGGCACTCATCTGCATGTCATACTGACTGACAGTATTATTTCTCTTCCCCAGCAGACTCCAAGGGCATTTAAATTAAAGGTACAGTGTTCTGCACTAATATTAAGTCTCTCTGAAGCCTAGAAACACCCTTTTTTAAGTTAAATTCACAGCGAATATATTCGACTCGAATCGAATATTGTCCACGAATTCGCCGAATCAGTCGAATCGAATTTTTGAATACTTCGCTCATCTCTAATCTTGATGACTATCACTCCTTAAATAGGAATGGATTATACAGTATACTACCTGAATATTGCTATAACCTCTTATATTATTTTCTGTCATGCGTTATACTCCCTGTCACACCTCTTTTAAACAATATTTTTGAGAGTGTCTATCAGTTCACTGTGTATATGGTCATCTGGTGTGTGAGAGACAAATGACAGACACTTCACTAATAAATGTTCTAATAAAAATGCATTTAAGCAGGAAAAAATACATTTACCTGTGCAGCTAACACTGAGCAGCAATTCAAAATACAATATTTGTACAGAGGATTTTATTACTTAACAGTGTTCACAATAATTGATATTTACTTATTCATCTTCATGTTTTCACAGTGGCCTGCGTGGGAGAGAAGCATAACACTTCTTTGGTTTCTTGTAACACGTGGGATGGAAGATGTGTAGGAGGGAAGGAATGTATTAGTGTTTAAAAAAGATTTGATGCATTAGTATGTGTGGACATGGATCTTTGAAGAATTCTTTGCTTATTTTTTAAGGTTAGACAGATTACCAGAAATAGGTTAAAGTGGTTGTAAAGGCTATTTTTTTTTCTTAAAATAATAAACACAGTATACTTATCTGCTCTGTGCAATGGTAAAGCCCCAAACCACCTCTCCTGGGGTCCCCCACGGGCTCTCTTCTACTTTGCATGCGCCACCATAGCAAGCTGCATGCTATGGGGGTGCACATGCGGGCTCGCTACTGAGCCAGACTGTGTGCGTCCATAGATGCACAGTGTGGCTCAGCCCCACCCCCAGTCCTCCCTTAGGATTTGGTTGGCTCCTGCTGTTGCCTTTATGTCCTTTGAGGAAATAAAGAGAGAGCTGTGATGCTGCTTTTGGGCACAGTGCAGGATCAAAAGAGGAGCCAGGTAAGTATTTGGGGAGGTTTGGTAAGAATTTGGGGCTTAGGGAGCTGATCATGGAAGGTTGTTTACCTTATGCAAAGAATGTATTAAGGTAAACAAAAAACCTTGTGTCTTTAAAACCACTTTCATGTCTTTTTTTTTTTTTTTGTAATCCTGTTGATATTTCAAAAACTTCATTAATGAATGAAGGCACCTTAAAAAGAAGACATTTTGCACTGACCTGTCCAGCGGATGGTGAGCGGAATATTCATTTTCCTGCCAGACTTCAAGTTTGGCTACTATTCAATGCTTCTGAGTGTGTCAGATAGCATGTCTGCTGTTTGTGTGGAAGTAAGTTAATGTTTTGACTGACATTCTGCGGTTTAGCCACAGGATGTCACTGTTCTTCTAGCACAGCCTCAAACTGCATAGATATTTGTATATTCATGAATAGGTGGGGTTTTTTTGCACACAGAGTTGGAGAGAACAGGAAGGAAAGAGAGAAGCCATGTTTTGGAGCATGGTGAATAAGGGGCCCTGTGAGCTGAGATTCTGATGACATCCAGGTGTGAAAGCGTCCCTCCGTAACTAGAGCTGCAGCTAAGTAAAGCTGATGAGATTGCTGCCAGGAAGCTGATGAGATTGCTGCCAGGAATGCTGATGAGATTGCTGCCAGGAAGGCTGATGAGTGCAGAGGAACAAAGCAACATATACGGCGAGACCGCATGATTTTTGGAGAGACGTTTGTTCTGTTCAGAGTCACCAGCGGATGTAAAGCAGACCTGGGTCGGAAAGATTGTGCACGTACCTCATTTCAGTGTTGGCGCCTTGAGACTGAGTCCAGGCCTATAGTTAGTTAGTTAGGGTCTCTGTTTGTGTCAGGCCACAAGTGTTGTTACTGATCATTGGAAGGACTCCACAACTTAAAGTGACATTTCACATTGGGGAGCTGATAACATCCTACAAACTCAAGCCAGACTGGCGTTTTGCTCAGAAGGAATACTCAGGCACGTGCTACAGGACCAGTTATGGGAGAGGGAATACTGTAGATTTGTGTAATATTGCAAGCTGTTGTGCTGCACCGCAGGCTAACCCATACCGTACACCCATACACTGATTCCTGCTCTTTTAGGATAATAACGGGTAAGGTGTGGCAGCTTAGTTGTGCCCGCCAGTAGGTAAATTACTACACCTTCTACCTTCATCCATCAGAAGGCGCCTTGCTGTGCAGCACAAGGGTCTCAGCCTTTGGGCTCGGTGTATGTAAATTTATTGTATGTTTCCAGCATTTGTGGTTGTGTTTATTTGCCACATCTAAGTAAAATTCTGTTGTGACAAAAGCTGGTGTTGGGGTTGCTTTCCTCGTTCATGACTTCACTGTATCCTGTGGAGCCCACCCCGGTACATGGCTTACATGGCTACATTACTACAGGATATAGAAAGTGTTAAATGGCAGCCAGACCTAGAGCTCTGCAAGAAAGTGAAGCTTTTGTTCACTACCTACTAGTGAGGTGAGTATAAAATATATTCTTTTACTGATTGCCTTGGTTGCTTTTTTGCATTCTGACCGGGTGTCTATCAAGCGCTGTGCTTGGCTTGCTGTGTCCACCTAAATTACGTTTGCTGATATTCATTCTGTCCTCCCTTGATGTGGTTGCTTACCTGTTTCCACTACTGTGTTGGGTTCCTTTCCTGACCCTAGGTTCACATCTGTGCGGGTGGTTCCGCTGCGGATCTGCACGAAAATCCGTGCAGCCGCACCACCCGCACAGAGAAATGCGGACCCGCGGGTGGGTGCCATTAGTTCTAATGGCACGGTGCCCACACTGGAAAACACAACCGTACTGGGAAGTGCAGGGACTTTTTCCCTGCATGTCACGGGCATGGGAGTCCATTCTAATGAATGGTCTCTCGTGCCCGTGCAAAACGAGGCCCGCATGGCCTCATATATGTAAACCAGGGGTTAGGTCCTGTCTGGCTTTCTCTGCAGCTATTTCCTTACTGTTGCCCCTATGCTAGCAGGCTGTCATATTTATCTGCACAGGTAAGCTATGCACATGCAAGGATGTAACTAAGGGCGCACACCCAGAGTAATGCACACACAGTCAGGCACACAGCATTTTCTTTACTTAAAATTAAGTAAAAATTAGTGTTGCGCTCCACTAACAAATGCAATACAAATGATATCAAATTTGTGAATGAAAATAAATAATAGTCCAGCATCAAATTAAAAAGTGACAATGCAATCACGCTGCTGATGCATACATGTCCTTAATTAATCCATGACTTTGACATTTCTTCTAATAGTGTGATACGAAGTAATTAGCATGCAGTCCACCAATCATAAAAATAGTGTACACCACCGGTTGTGCTCTCACCTGGCGTATATGACAAACCATTAAGTGAGATCATAAAAGGCTTGTGTCCCTTTAAATGGACTTGGTGGTAAATGGATGAGATTATCCCTCTTTCCTGGGGATGGATGGATGAACGGAGTTATCCCTCCTCCCAGTAGGGGGTCTCCTTTATTTAATAAATAATTTAAAAAGAAGATAAGGCACTATATTTTTTATTATTACATTTCATGGCACTTATACCTATGGAGGAAAATTCCTAAGGAAGCGAGGAGACCCCCTAGTGGGAAGAGGGATAACTCCATCCATCCATCTACTCCCAGAAAAATCCCAAAGGAAGCAAGGAGACCCCCTACTGAGAAGAGGGATAATTCTGTCTATCCATCCCCAGGAAAGAGGGATAATCTCATCCATTTACCGCCAAGTTCATTTAAAGGGACACAAGCCTTTTATGACCTCACTTAATGGTTTAGTCATATACGCCAGGTGAGAGCACAACCGGTCGAGGTGTACACTATTTTTATGATTGGTGGGCTGCACTCTAATTACTTCGTATCACACTATTATTATTGCCAAAGCTTAATTGAACAAGCTGAAGTTAGAAGCTGATTGGTTGGTATCCAGATAGGAGTGTGGACATTCTGCATCAAACATCAGAGACCATGTTTCACATGTCTGGCTCTAGATATTCAGTGCAATTTAGCAGATCATCAGTCAGTTCTGCAGGCCTTTAGAGCGAGAGCAAAGGTGGAAACAGTGTATGAAGAGATCTTATACGCTCAAAAAGAAGCTGACTTGATGAGGCAGAAAGCATAGTTAGAAGTCAACTCTATGAAGCAGAAAGCAGAGTTAGAAGCCAACTCCTCGAGGCAGAAAGCAAAGCTGAAAGTTAGTAAGCTTGTGTTGCAGACTCAAAGGGTGGCAGCATCAGCAGATGCTGCGGTCTACGAAACTGCAGTTGGTTCAGAAGGGGATCCACTCCAAGATCTTGAGGAAATAGCAACTCATGATTCAATGCACTAAGGAATATGTACAGAACCATGCTCCAGACCTTGTTACGAGAGAGTATGCTGTAAGTATAGTGAAGATCATCATGTCTCCTTCCCACCATTTCTTCAACAAGTTTATCATCAACTAAGCAAAGGCTAGAAATGAGAAGATAGGAAAAGATAGGAGCAAAGCATGGCAACAGACCATCCGTGTCAATCAGAAAGACAGAGGTGTCAGCCACTGATGCAGATTTACATCTTAACAACTCTGAATAGAAGTCCATGGACCCAGACAGTTCATGCTCAACCCATAAAAAAACCACACCCAATGTCTAAATGTTGTGGAATAAGAAGCAAGCATATTGATGAATGTAAAGCTTACCTGCAGGAAAATGCTATCTGCTTCAGATGCTGTGCCTCCACCAAACCCATTGCTAAAGACTGCAAAGTCAATATAAGATGCAGTAGTGACCAGTATACCTCGGCACTGCATCCAGTTCCAGCCCCTTGGGCAACAGAGACCCTGATAACCAACAAAGAGCAAGGCGGGGAGAAAGATGAACCTACCCCATCAACTGTTGTATCCAAGTGTACAGAGGTATGTGCAGGAGGCCCAGATCATGTTCCAAGATTTGTTTAGTGACTGTATACCCCCTAACACACCTGACTGCTCTGTGAAAATGTATGCAGTGTTAGATGATTAAAGTAATTGCTCATTAGCCAAGTCAGAATTCTTTAATGTGTTTAACATTAGTGACAAAATATTTTCTTACACACTAAAAAAACTCTTAGGTATTATAGTAAAAACAGGGTGTACTGAATCTAACATCATTGTTCAGTCTGTCGATAGGAACACACACATAAAACTTCCCACTCTCATTGAATGTGACATGATGCCTAATGACAGGTCAGAAATACCAACCTCTGAGATTACACAGCATTTCCCTCATTTGAATTCCTTAACAGTTAAGATACCTGCAATTGACCCTAATGCCCAAATACTCCTCTTGCTAGGTCGAAGTAGTCTCAGGGTGACCAAGGTACGTGAGCAGATTAACAAACTCCATAATGCTCCTAATGCGACACATTTAGATGTAGGTTTCATCATAGTTGGAGCAGTATGTTTATATGGAGCTCACACACCAGCAGACGTGTACTCATTTAAGCAAACGTTCAGCCTAATGTGCGCCCTTCTCTATTCAGTCCATACACCAGTTATATGGGAAAAAATAGCCTTCTAATGCTTGTGAACTACAGCCATGCACTCCCTCATTATGCCATTTTTGGAACCACAGCTCACAGCATGGACAGTTTATGTGACAATGTGTTCACTAGAACTCCAAACGATGAAAGACCTGCTATATCCATCGAAGATCTATGTTCTTTGATGAAGTTGAAAAGGAGGTGTTTGTGGGCATAGCAAACTACTGGGTACATCCCTACTATTTTCGCTCGCTATGCCCTAGGCTGCCAAAGAACAGGGAGCAAGCACAGAATAGACTCCTTGTTCCACAGCGCTCTTTGGAAGAAAACCTGAAATTACAGAACATTTTGTTAACTTTATGCAAAAGATCTTTGACCATGATGAAGCAGAATCAGCCCCACCACTGAATGCGGGTGAATAAATTCATATCTATCAATCTTTGGTGTCTATCACTCCCTATCACTTCAAGATGAAAGTACATGTCTTTGGAAATAGTCCTTCGCCTTCCGTAGCCATTTATGGTCTAAGACAAATAGCTAAGCAGGAAGTAAGTGAGTATGGAGAAGACGTAAAACAGTTCATCCTAAAAATACGCTTGTAGATGACAGAATTACATCTGTGCCTACTGAAGCAGTTGCGATCAGTCTCCTGCAGAGAGCTAGGGAGATTCTTGCAGGATCTAATCCTAAAATACATAAGTTGGCATCCAATAGAAGCTCAGTAATGGAAGCGTTTCTTGCAGATGACAGAGCTAAAGAGTTAAAAGACCTTGTTCTAGGTGTTGATCCTCTGCCCCTTCAACTGAGTTTAGGAGTAAGTTGGAATCTCTAGACCGATAGTTTTGCCTTTCAAGTAACCAGGGAGGTGAAGCCATACACACGGATAGGGATCCCAGCCACAGTAGACAGTCTTTACAATCCACACAGGTTTGCAGGTCCAGTAACTATACAGGGCAAAGCCTTAGTTAGAGAGCTCTCAATAGATCAGTGTGACTGGGACTCTCAATCTGCCAGAAAGAGAAACTCAGTGGAGAACATGAACAGAAGACGATATATCTTGAAAATCTCAGTATTCCCAGACCCTATGTGCCAGTGTCGCTAACATCTACAGTGAGAAGAGAAGTATGTGTCTTTTCTGATGCTTCTACTGTGGTGATAGTAGCTGTAGCGTATCTCAGGGTCATATACAGTAATAGTCAATGTCATGTAGGCTTTATT